GGATCTTTACTCTGAGTACAAAGTTCTTCACTCTGATGACAAGGTTATTCATTCTGAGGACAAGGTTCTTCACTCTGATGACAAGGTTCTTCACTCAGAGGACAAGGTTCTTCACTCTGAGGACAAGAATCTTTACTCCGAGTACAAAGTTCTTCACTCAGAGGACAACGTTCTTCACTCTGAGGACAAGGTTCTTCATTCTGAGGACAAGGTTCCTCACTCTGAGGACAAGGTTCTTCACTCGGAGGACAAGGATCATTACTCTGAGTACAACGTACTTCACTCTGAGGAAAAGGTTCTTCACTCTGAGGACAAGGTTTCTCACTCTGAAGACAAGTTTTGTCACTCTGAGGACAAAGTTTTTTACCCTGAGGACAAGCTTTTTCACTCTGAGGACAAGATTCCTCACACTGAGGACAAGGGCCTTCACTCTGAGAACAAGCGTCCTCACTCTGAGGACAAGGTTTGTCACTCTGAGGACAAGGTTCCTCACTTTGAAGAGAAGGTTCTTCATTCTGAGGACAAGGTTTTTACTGTGAGGACAAAGTTTCTCACTATGAAGACAAGGTTCCTTACTTCGAGAATTAGATTCTTCATTCTTAGGGCAAGTTGCTTCACCCTGAGGACAATGTTCTTCATTCTGAGGAAAAGGTTCCTCACTCTGAGGACAAGGTTCCCCTCTCTGAGGAAAAGGTTTTTCACTCTGAGGACAAGGTTCTTCACTCTGAGGAGAAGGATCTTTACTCTGAGTACAAAGTTCTTCACTCTGACTACAAGGTTCTTCACTCTGAGGACAAGGTTCTTCACTCGGAGGACAAGGATCATTACTCTGAGTACAAAGTTCTTCACTCTGAGGACAAGGTTCTTCACTCTGAGGACAAGGTTCTTCATTCTGAGGAAAATGTTCGTCACTCTGAGGACAAGGTTCTACGCTTTGAGGACAAGGTTTTTCACTCTGAGGACAAGGTTCCTCACTTTGAAGAGAAAGTTCTTCATTCTGAGGACAAGGTTTTTACTGTGAGGACAAAGTTTCTCACTATTAAGACAAGGTTCCTCACTTTGAGGATTAGATTCTTCATTCTTAGGGCAAGTTGCTTCACCCTGAGGACAAGGTTCTTCATTCTGAGGAAAAGGTTCCTCACTCTGAGGACAAGGTTCCTCTCTCTGAGGAAAAGGTTTTTCACTCTGAGGACAAGGTTCTTCACTCTGAGGAGAAGGATCTTTACTCTGAGTACAAAGTTCTTCACTCTGACTAGAAGGTTCTTCACTCTGAGGACAAGGTTCTTCACTCGGAGGACAAGGATCATTACTCTGAGTACAAAGTTCTTCACTCTGAGGACTAGGTTCTTCACTCTGAGGACAAGGTTCTTCGTTCTGAGGAAAATGTTCCTCACTCTGAGGACAAGGTTCTACGCTCTGAGGACAAGGTTTTTCACTCTGAGGACAAGGTTTTTCACTCTGAGGACAAGGTTCTTCACTCCGAGGACAAGGTTCCTTACTCTGAGGACAAGCTTTCTCAGTCTGAGGACAAAGTTTTTTACCCTGAGGACTAGCTTTTTCACTCTGAGGACAAGATACCTCACACTGAGGACAAGGGTCTTCACCCTGAGGAGAAGCGTCCTCACTCTGAGGACAAGGTTTCTCACTCTGAGGACAAGGTTCCTCACTTTGAAGACAAGGTTCTTCATTCTGAGGAGAAGGTTTTTACTGTGAGGAAAAGGTTTCTCACTATGAAGACAAGGTTCCTCACTTTGAGGATTAGATTCTTCATTCTTCGGGCAAGTTTCTTCACCCTGAGGACAAGATTCTTCATTCTGAGGAAAAGGTTCCTCACTCTGAGGACAAGGTTCCTCTCTCTGAGGAGAAGGTTTTTCACTCTGAGGACAAGGTTCTTCACTCTGAGGAGAAGGATCTTTACTTTGAGTACTAAGTTCTTCACTCTGACTACAAGGTTCTTCACTCTGAGGACAAGGTTCTTCATTCTGAGGAAAAGGTTCCTCACTCTGAGGACAATGTTCTTCGTTCTGAGGACAAGGTTTTTCACTCTGAAGACAAGGTTCTTCACTCGGAGGAGAAGGATCCTTACTCTGAGTACAAAGTTCTTCACTCTGAGGACAAGGTTCTTCACTCTGAGTACAAGGCTCTTCATTCTGAGGAAAATGTTCCTCACTCTGAGGACAAGGTACTTCGCTCGGAGGACAAAGTGTTTCACTCTGAGGACAAGGTTCTTCACACTGAGGACAAGGTTCTTCATTCTGACGGCAAGGTTCCTCACTCTGAGGACAAGGTTCTTCGCTCTGAGGACAAGGTTCTTCACTCTGAGGACAAGGTTCCTCACTCTGAGGACAAGTTTTCTAAGTCTGAGGACAACGTTTTTTACCCTGAGGACAAGCTTTTTCACTCTGAGGACAAGATACCTCACACTGAAGACAAGGGTCTTCACTCTGAGGACAAGCGTCCTCACTCTGAGGACAAGGTTTCTCACTCTGAGGACAACGTTCCTCACTTTGAAGACAAGGTTCTTCATTCTGAGGACAGGGTTTTTACTGTGAGGACAAGGTTTCTCACTATGAAGACAAGGTTCCTCACTTTGAGGATTAGATTCTTCATTCTTAGGGCAAGTTTCTTCACCATGAGGACAAGGTTCTTCATTCTGAGGAAAAGGTTCCTCACTCTGAGGACAAGGTTTCTCTCTCTGAGGACAAGGTTTTTCACTCTGAGGACAAGGTTCTTCACTCTGAGGAGAAGGATCTTTACTCTGAGTACAAAGTTCTTCAATCTGACTACAAGGTTCTTCACTCTGAGGGCAAGGTTCTTCATTCTGAGGAAAATGTTCCTCACTCTGAGGACAATGTTCTTCGTTTGAGGACAAGGTTTTTCACTCTGAGGACAAGGTTCTTCACTCGGAGGACAAGGATCTTTACTCTGAGTACAAAGTTCTTCACTCTGAGGACAAGGTTCTTCACTCTGAGGTCAAAGTTCTTCACTCTGAGGACAAGGTTCTTCACTCTGAGGACAAGGTTCTTCATTCTGAGGACAAGGTTCCTCACTATGAGGACAAGGTTCTTCGCTCTGAGGACAAGGTTCTTCACTCTGAGGACAAGGTTCTTCACTCTGAGGACAAGGATCTTTACTCTGAGTGCAAAGTTCTTCACTCTGAGGACAAGGTTCTTCACTCTGAGGAAAAGATTCTTCATTCTGAGGACAAGGTTCCTCACTCTGAGGACAAGGTTCTTCGCTCTGAGGACAAAGTCCTTCACTCTGAGGACAAGGTTCTTCACTCTGATGACAATGTTCTTCATTCTGAGGAAAAGGTTCCTCACTCTGAGGACAAGGTTCTTCGCTCTGAGGACAAGGTTCTTCACTCTGAGGACAAGGTTCTTCACTCTGAGGACAAGGATCTTACACTGAGTACAAAGTTCCTCACTCTGAGGACAAGGTTCTTCACTCTGAGGACAAAGTTCTTCACTCTGAGGACAAGGTTCTTCACTCTGAGGACAAGGTTCCTCATTCTGAGGACAAGGTTCCTCACTCTGAGGACAAGGTTCTTCGCTCTGAGGACAAGTTTCTTCATTCTGAGGAAAAGATTCCTCACCCTGAGGACAAGGTTCTTCGCCCTGAGGACAAGGTTCTTCCCTCTGAGGACAAGGTTCTTCACTCTGAGGACAAGGATCTTTACTCTGAGTACAAAGTTCTTCACTCTGAGGACAAGGTTCTTCACTCTGAGGACAAGGTTCTTCATTCTGAGGACAAGGTTCCTCACTCTGAGGACAAGGTTCTTCGCTCTGAGGACAAGTTTCTTCATTCTGAGGAAAAGGTTCCTCACCCTGAGGACAAGGTTCTTCGCCCTGAGGACAAGGTTCTTCCCTCTGAGGACAAGGTTCTTCACTCTGAGGACAAGGATCTTTACTCTGAGTACAAAGTTCTTCACTCTGAGGACAAGGTTCTTCACTCTGAGGACAAGGTTCTTCATTCTGAGGACAAGGTTCCTCACTCTGAGGACAAGGTTCTTCACTCTGAGGACAAGGTTCCTCACCCTGAGGACCAGGTTCTTCACTCTGAGGACAAGGCTTTTTACTCTGAGTACAAAGTATTTCACTCTCAGGAGAAGGTTCGTCACTCTGAGGATAAGCTTCTTCATTCTGAGGACAAGATTCCTCACTCTGAAGACAAGGTTCTTCACCCTGAGGACAAGGTTCTTCATTCTGAGGACAAGGTTCCTCACTCGGAGGACAAGGTTCTTCGCTCTGAGGACAAGCTTCCTCACACTCAGGACAAGCTTCTTCACTCTGAGGAAAAGGTCCTTTACTCTGAGGAGAAGGGTCTTCACTCTGAGGACAAGGTTCCCCACACTTAGGACAAGGTTCTTCGCTCTGAGGACAAGATTCCTGACACTGAGGAGAAGGTACTTCACTCTGAGGACAAGGTTCCTCACTCTGAAGAGGATGTTTCTCACTCTGAGGACAAGGTTCTTCTTTCTGAGGACAACTTTCTTCACTCTGAGGACAAGGCTCTTCTTTCTGAGGACAAGGTTCTTCACTCTGAGGACAAGGTTCTTCTTTGTTAGGACAAGGTTCTTCACTCTGAGGACAAGGTTCTTCAGTGTGAGGACAAGTTTTTTCAGTCTGAAGAGAAGTTTTTTCAATCTGAGCACAAGGTTCCTCACTTTGAGGACAAAGCTTTTCACTCTGAGGACAAGGTTTCCCACTCTGAGGACAAGGTGCCTCCAACTGAGGACAAGGTTCTTCACTCTGAGTACAACGTTCCTCACTCTGAGGACAAAATTCCTCACTTTGAAGACAAGTTTTCTCTCTTTGAGGACAAGGTTCTTCATTCTGAGGGCAAGGTTCTTCACTCTGAGGAAAAGGTTCTTCTCTATGAAGACAAGGTTCTTTAATCTGAGAACGAGGTTCTCCTCTCTAAGGACAAGGTTCCTCACACTGAGAACAAGGTTTTTTCTTTCTGAGGACAAGGGTCCTCACTCTGAGGACAAGTTTCCTCACTCTGAGGACAAGGGTCTTCACTCTGAGGGCAAGGTTCTTCACTCTGAGGACAAGGTCCGTCACACTGAGGACAAGGTTCCACAGTCTGAGGGCGAGATTCCTGACACTGAGGAGAAGGTACTTCACTCTGAGGAGAAGGTTCCGCACTCTGAAGAGAATGTTTCTCACTCTGAGGACAAGGCTCCTCACTTTGAGGACAAGGTTCTCCATTCTGACGACAAGGTTCTTTACTGCGAGGAAAAAGGTCTCTCACTCTGAGGACAAAGTTCCTCACGTTGAGGACAAGGTCCTTCATTGTGGGAGCAAGGTTCTTCACTTTGAAGACAAGGTTCCTCACACGGAGGACAAGGTTCCTCACTTTGAGGACAAGGTTCTTGTTTCTGAGGACAAGGTTCTTCACTCTGAGGAGAAGGTAAGACACTGTGAGGACGAGGTTCTTTACTCTGAGGACAAGGTTCTTCTTTCTGAGGACAAGGTTCTTCACTCTGAAGACAGGGTTCTTCTTTCTGAGGACAAGGTTCTTCTCTCTGAAGACAAGGTTCTTCACTCCGAGGACAATGTTCCTTACTCTGAGGCAAGTTTTTTCAATCTGAGGAGAAGTTTTTTCAATCTGAGGAGAAGGTTCCTCACTTTGAAGACAAGGTTTTTCACTCTGAGGACAGGGTTTCCCGCTCTGAGGACAAGGTTCCGCTCACTGAGGACAAGGTTCTTCACTCTGAGGAGAAGGTTCTTCACTCTGAGGACAAGGTTCTTCTTTCCGAGGACAAGGTTCTTCTCTCTGAGGACAAGGTTCTTCACTCCGAGGACAAGGTTCTGCACTCTGAGGACAAGGTTCTTCTCTCTGAGGGCAAGGTTCTTTAATCCGAGAACGAGGTTCTTTTCTCTGAGGACAAGGTTCCTCACACTGAGAACAAGTTTTTTCTCTCTGAGGACAGGTGTCCTCACTCTGAGGACAGGTGTCCTCACTCTGAGGACGAGGCTCCTTACTCTGAGGAGAAGAATCTTCACTCTGAGGGCAAGGTTCTTCACTCTGAGTACAAGGTTCCTCACACTGAGGACAAGGTTTCTCACTCTGAGGACAAGTTTCTCACTCGGAGAACAAGGTACCTCACTTTGAGGACAAGGTTCTTCATTCTGAGAAGAAGGTTCTTTACTCTGAGGAGAAGGTTCTTTTTTCTGAGGACAAGGTTCTTCACTCTGAGGACAAGGTTTTCCATCCTGAGGGAAAGGATCTTCACTCTGAGGACAATGTTCCTGACACTGAAGACCAGGTTCTTCACTCTGAGGACAAGGTTCCTCACCCTGAGGACAAGGTTCTTCACTCTGAGGACAAGGTTCTTCACTCTGAGGAGAAGGTTCCATACGCTGAGGACAAGGTTCTTTACTCCGAGGGCAAGGTTCTTTACTCCGAGGGCAAGGTTCCTCACACTGAGGACAAGGTTCGTCATTCTAAGGACAAGGCTCAGGTACATTAATGCATGGCTCCAATTTCGTTAGGAGTGAAAAAATAGGACAAATCTTTAAAAATTAATGAAAAATTAACAAAGTGCACTACGACTCTCATTTTTGGGTGGATGTTGGAAATCAACTGTCGATATTTTTCAACTATTTGGTTTGCATGGAAACTGGCAGCGTGACAAGATATAGGCCTTATAATGGATATTAACTTAATGTTTTAAAACACGGCTTTCCGCCACACTAAAGATTCATGGGTATGTACAAAAATATTATCACGGAAACGTTTAGTCCTATACTGCAATGTAGCAATTAGAAACTTAAAGATTATGGCACAGATCTGAAAATATTGCTGTGAATACAATAACGTAACGCGCAATGTCAATATGATCGTCAATAAAATTATCGTTCCAGGTTACAATGCTTACAAGTCTAATTGTAGGACCAAAGGTGGCTGTACTCTGGAAAGATCTGCGTTTAAACGACCCACATTAACGTTGTCTTATGTGTCGGCAAGTCCAACGCGTTTTTTGCGTGGTGAATTCGCGCGCGCCATTACCCTTACCAAAGCAAAAGTATGGGAAAGATATGGCAAAGTTTGGGCCATATATGACCCATATGTGGGCATGATATGGGACAATATAGATATCATGTGGGATTTGTATGGTGTCTAAATTTGTTAAATATTGAGATATGGAAAAGCTATGGAAACAAACACATTGCTATTAATCCTATGGGAAATCTGTGGGTTTACTTGGTCCATAGGAAATCCATATCAATGGCATGCTTTTACATATAACCAATTCTATGGGAATTATATGGTAGTCCACACTTGGTTGTCCCATATACTTCCCATACCTATGGGAACTATATGGTAGTACACACTTGGTTGTCCCATATAATTCCCATATATGGGAATTATATGGTAGTCCACACTTGGTTGTGCCATATACTTCCCATATCTATGGGAATTATAATTTATATGGAGTCTGAACTTGGTGTGGTTTTGGCATAGATATCTTATATACACTAGATAGTGCATCTAATTATTCTACAATTCAAAAATTGAAGCCGTGATTGCTGTCTCAGGTCGTTCCCATGAAATGAGAAGAATCGTATGTTTTCTATTTCTTAAACAGGGACCTTAAACATGAAGTTAACCCTATTCCAAATACATTTTAAACTATTCAAATGATGAAAGTTATTGTTGTTTTTTAAGCGTTTATTAGCAAGTGGGAACGACCAACATGGCCGCCATCTATTCAAATGGCGGTAACCGCTGGAATATTCTTGGCTTCAATTTTACTAAAAGAGATGCGCTATAAGATATCCATGGGTTCTGGCCTCCAACAGAGAATCCATACATATGCATATGATTTCTATGGCAATGCTATGCCAACACTTACGAAAATTTCCTATACGAATTCCTATAAGAAATGAAATTCCTATAGGATTTGAAAATTCCTATAAGAATTCATATAAGATTTGAAAATGATGAAAAACGAAATTTCTATATATATACTAATATACATATAGGAAATAAAAATTCCTATAGGAATTCCGATAGGATTGGAAAATAAATTTATTCTAACATTAATTAAATGAATAATTACCGCAATGTGCGCGACCAACAGACTGGTGTCTAGTGTTTTGCCACACGCACAAAGCATCTTGGGATAGGTCATCACACCTCCGATATTTTATAAATTTTTTGTTTGTGAATGCTTTATATGTTCAAAATAGAACTATTTTTGATGAGATTCAACTGGATTTTCACTAGTAATACATCAGCGATGTTTGTATAATGTTCAGGTGAGCATATGTTTATATTTTGTTTATAATAAAGCAAATTATAAAGGAATACCTAGTCCAATATTCATTCGTGAAATTCGAGCATGTGTTTCGATCGGTTTAAAATTTGAATTTGCCGCGACAATAATGGATTAGAACGCTGATATAAATATATTTATCTGTCTTTTATACTTCAATAAATGCTACTATAAGAGTTTTATATTTGAATTAGACTTTTCAATGTTTATTGGTTAATATATTTGTATATGCTATAAACTGTATATGCAAGATTAATTGCAGACATTAAGCATGCCTATACATATAGACTATATAGTACTATATGCTCATATTACATATAGTTTGAAAATTTATCTACTTGCTCAAATCAGCAGCAACCTTCCTAAGATTCTGATATCAAATTAAAATTGATATTTCATTGGGAGAGGTGTAATTGCACCAGTCAATATGAATTAAAATATGTTAGCCTTAGTGTAATGCCAGGAAAATTCTCCATATTTTTTTATGAAATTAACATTTAACTATGTGATGGTATATTCAAGTTAACGAGACTCTTTACTTACATTTCACACTAACTCGTTAGGATGAATATGCTCAACTTTCAGTACTTTTTTATTTTACCTTGTCTAACACCAGATCAAATATTTTACTTGTGAAAGAGAGTGGACAACTTTGATAGGTTATCTTGCTCAGTGGCGTAACGTTATATCAAAGGGCCCCCGGTTCAAACTTTTTGAAGGCCCCCCTAGTAAAATTGCCAGAGCCACAAGTCGAGCGCCATATATGCACAAGTTTTCTAGTGGGTCCAGAGCATGCTCACCCGGAAAATATTTGAATCTAGACTCTCTGAAATGCCATTTCCCAGACTTTGGGGAGATATTTTACAGAATTCTGATGGTCAGAGAATGGCATTGTTGCTCTATAGGCTATAGCCTGAGCCTGGGGGGCCCCTGTTGGGATTGGGGGCCCCCGGGTTCTCCCGGTCTGAGCCCATAGTAGTTACGCCACTGATCTCGCTGTCCCCCTGTGTTATGTGTAAACTCATTAAGACCCAATTCACACTAATCTGCTCTATTTCAAAGCTCAATATTTTGGCCTGTCTAACACCAGACTATTTTGCATTGTTTGTTGTTAACACATTTAGATGCAATTCATCCTAACACTCCCCACCTTCAGTACTTTGATAGTTAATTATCAGATGATTTTACTCATCAAGATGAGTGTTGGTTATTGAAAGGTTAATAATTAACTGCAAAAGCTGCTGTGTTGGCATATTTAGAAGCAATGTGCCCTACTTTTAGTACTTTGTTATTTTATTAAATATTTATTCCATTAATGTTCCAGACTCTCCACTTAACAAATAAAATTGTCTGTCATTAGACATATAGTAAAACATAATGATTTGGCATTTGACAGAGTAAACTTGTTTTCCGTTAGACAGAGTAAAATAATAAATTTGGTGCAAAAATGCTTGATGGAAATTTGGCTGCAGAATATAGGGTATAAATTTTCTGTCAGTATAATCATTTTTATCAAATCTGGCAAAATCTTGACGTTTGAATTATTTCGTCCTGCAGATGATAGAAGTTGTAGAAGGATCTGGCATGTTCTGGAATTGCCACCAGTGGGCATATTGCTCAGCAAGATTTTCTAATGAAGGCCTTACACCAAGTCAGGTGATACAAAAAATAAACATGAAAAGTGTAAAAGCCAGGCGTCCACAAAGAGTTTGAATAGTCTGTAGTCAAGCTCACAAGTTGAGAGGACTGAGGACATTATAGATACCGATACAGTTATATAGATGAATAAATGGCCATAATGTTGTCTATAATCGCTCCAACTCCAAGCAACCTGTAAGACCCAATAATTTAGACATAAATACTGAAATGCAGGGTTATCAGTAATACATTCTAGGACAGGTATCTCCTCAATTTGTGCTGCTTCTTGGTTTATAGAAACACAAGCTGGGATCTCTTGGCAGCAAATACTTTCTTCTTCCCTATCCATTATTTGGCAGTGAGTACAAATCATTTTAAGGCACCTACATGCATAAAGCCAAGTTCCAATTTAATCATAAGTTAATTTGGGCTAAACCAAGTTAATTTGGGCTAAAGCATAGCAGTTGAATTTACGATTTTTAGCCATAGTTGCTTCAACTTCAACCACAAAATTCAATGTAAATATTACATAATAAAGTAGTTTTTAATACATTTTTTACCTTTATTTGAAGTACAAACATAATAAGAATGTATAATAATGCCGCCCATAATAATGTATAATTGTGCATGTTGCTGAAAAAACTTAACCTACATATCTACGTACAACATAAATAATAGGAGCAAATTTAGTAAATAATTACCAGTTTGTGTCCTGAAGTCTGGTGGTTTTGTCAGAACTTGACGAAGACTCCGAAGCCATTTGGTTCAAACGCGTAAGATTGAATCATGTTTACGTCTCTTTTGACGTTCATATCTTCGCTATAACTCGATCCACTGCTTCCAGAACCATCGATCCAAGATTCATTTGAGTAATCAATATCCATTTCTCTTCATACAGTATTTTTTTTAAATTTATAAATACTATTTCGTCTTTGTTTACATGTGCTGTAAAAGCCAACCGCGCAATGACGTCACAATGTAAAACTGCTGCATGATCGCAGCTTCGCTGTGATGTACAAAATGGCGGCTGCGTTATATGTAAATTTTAGCACATTTATCGCTCTATTTCTCGACTTGGTTATAACTTGGAGATGTGGCACTTTGCGTGAGAGGTAAGCATTATATGATCTTTCATATCAGCCTAAGTTGTTCTGAACTCTAACTTCCCCTTTAAGGTTACAGGACACGTTTGGTAGCGTTCCACGAATAATCGCCACTGCGCGCTTAATATAACTCTGCTTTTTATCAAATTCTCACCAAATATTACTTAATGTATGTAGAATTTAATAAAGTTATCAAATTGATAAAAAAGAATAAACTATATGAAATATTCAGGAAAATTTGAAATCGCGGTACCTTTACGCGTTTGAGTTGTTCTCCTGCCAGTTTTAACATATATTTGTGAAAATTTCATTTTTACACCCCTAAATAACTGATCTAAAAAAACGTGTTCGGATTTTTTTACTTACTTTGCCATTCCTCTGATATAGCGATTTCTTTGACGATCATAAAATATTTGTGATTGTATCGAGTGAATTCCTTGTAATTCACGAAATATCCAAAACTAAAACAAAGCCAAACACATTTTTGAAGCAGACGTCTTCAGCTATGTGCTGTAAAAAATTCAGAAATATTCGTTGAAACCGGCAAGAGAACAACTCACTTGCAAATCACTATATGGGGAAAGCAAGGTTCGAAGAAAATTGAATTTGAATGCTACATAGAGTTTCGCGGGGTTTTTTAACACCTGACATTTCCACGCCCCTTTCGAACACAATCAATTATAAACAAAGGTATTTATAGTACATGATATAAAGTTGTTTTGAACGTCCATTTGACGGGAATAGTTTAGTTAAATCAGAATAAATACTCTATATCGCACAACTATGCCTCGGAAGAGAAATTTACATAAAGTTTCATCTCAAACGGAAACGAAATCACACAATTTGGAAAATACAAAGCGAAAAGAAACTTCGAAGGTCAGCAAAAAGCGCAGCAAGAAGTCAAACAAAAGAAATTTTGAAAGCGGTCTTCTGCTACATATGAAGGATGAAGGGTGCGTGTTAAATAATATTGCACTTTCCATTTCCCGATCTCACAATTGTAATTAATAAGTCATCGGTATAATTTTCAATGCAGATATAATGGCAAACAATTCGTCGATCATTTAAAGGCAGGTGTTGAGGATCGACTACATAAAAGAGGAAAACCACCACGAATGGTTAGATATTTCTTTTATTGTGCATGGGCACACGCTTTACTCGTAAGTTTTATTGTTTACTAGAATGGTTTCTTTTTGTGATATTTGATAGTTGAGTTTGATTGTAAATTCTAGTCGTCTTTAGGCATCACAGCCATTACTGATTTTGTATTTTACATTGTTCATGCTAAAATATTGTGTAATATTTGTAAATTTAGCGAAATAAAGTTGGACCTAATGATGCAAATTACGCATACCCACACGTGGTCTTGGAGTTTTTACGAGAGATTGCACCTGGAGATATAAAAGGTTAAATATAGAGAGGTAAATTGAACTGCAAACAATCCAAACATACTGTACTAGCTGAAATTTATAAACGAAAAGTAAATCGTTTCTTTTTGTTTTATTCTTATATGTGATAATGCTTTACATTTGTTGACAAAGAAAAATAACCTGCATGTATATACAAAACAACAAACTGAATAAATGAATATATGAACATGAATATTATATTTTGCAACATATCTGACAGGTAACATGTGTTTTGCAATGCTTTGTTTTATCTCTTTAGGATGCATACCCTGTTCAGATGGTGGAATTTTGTGAGGCACTGAAAATTATTAAGTTACACTGACACTGACAGTACTGCAAATGAGCTATCTAGACATAGATTTAGCATATTGAGCATTATTCCTAATATGGATAGTTAAATAATTGTGTTTGTTAAGAAAATACCCCTCCCCCAGTTCCCTAGCTATGTTTTTTGATGGAGCACTGCTGAAGGAATGGGGTACATTGTTCCTTTTACATAACAAGAGTTGAGAACAAGAGTTGATCACATGTAGGATACTGACTGAATATTAAGAGCATGTCCACTATGTTTGTGTCATATTATCTTTCCTCATGATGTGATCATGATGATACATAACTACTTTACATGCATATTATGTCACCTTAATTCCTTTTATTCTTTTTTACTGTAGACTGACTAGTGTTTCTTGACTTTCTTTTGCCTTTCTTTTTTGTCATATTACCACTTCCATTTTTCATATAGAATGACTGGGATTGGTATTGAACACCTTCCTTATGTAGGAAAGCATCAGCCTTTTTTGATTTCATTCTCTTATGCCTCTTTCTTCTTTCTTTCACACTGCTTCTATCTTTGTACTCTGCACCATATATACGCTTGTCATCAATCATTTTGAAGGCTTTTAGCATGCTTTCATTTACTGGCACATCAAGCATTGGTAAGAGTTGAGAATAAGTGACTTCTACTCCACAATTGAACAACAAAACTCCAAGATTAACTGCTATGTTGTTTTCCACTTGTGATGTGAATTGGTCCTTTGGAGCAATACCCCAAATGACGTGGTGTACACTTTCATTGGGATTTTGCGTTGAGCAGCTTTCACACCCAGCAAGGAAATTCTTATTTCCAAGTTTGTCGAATACTGGTTTAATGACCTTGACAACTGCAGGAGGGAGAGGGTCCTTTATTGGTCGGTGGGTCTTTGTTTTCAGGGCTAGATCTCGTTGGAAGCTACACCATGAATTTGGACCAGTTGGACAACATTGGTGTTGAGGTTTGTTCTCTGTACTGGAATAATGTAGCAATATTGCCTGGGTTGCATTTGACATTGCTGAGGAAGAACCTTTATTTTGTCGAATGCAGAGCCCATAAAAGCTCTGTATTGTGTCAATTCGTGCTATTGTGAGCCTGCCTGCCCCTCCAAGACACTTGCCATCTTCTAGTTTTCTCCCTGATAGTAATTTACAATAATAAATAGTTTTAAAAAGTATATGTAGTACACATTTATGTCAGTATATGTTTTGTAAAAAAATGAAGGAATGCCAGAGCTGTTGTTGGACAGAGGGGTGGGAACAAGTGGAAATTTAGGTAGGCTAAGGGGGCACAGTTGCTCCTCCCCCCTGTACCACCTCTCTGGTATTCCTAATAATATTTTATGTAATCACCTTTATAATCTCTTACAAGTGATCGAAGATTAGAACCCATTCGTTTAGTAACATGAGATATACAGTCGACCTTTGGAACATACACGGTGGGTCCGTAGGGTTTCTCAACACAGACCTTACTGTAGGAACTGCTGTCTCCATCTCCAATAAATGGATTGTATCTTATGTTATGCTTTTTTTCTGATCGAGAGTATAGTCTCAGCACACCAGAAGCTTCCATTGCCTGTAATTAATAATAAGGCAACATAACCCAATTATTTTCGTGTACAAATAGAACTATATTGTAAATTGTTTTGTTTACCTGTGCGCTTCCATCGTGATTCTTTTCACAACCTGGCTCGTGTTTTATGTACCAGTCCAAATAATCCAACTTGGAAATTGTGCCCTGCGCATGTTTATCCTCCATGGCTTTGCATCCAGGACAAGAACTTGTCATAAATAGTCAACTACTTTGCCGGTATCCTCCGATACGGCCGCTACAACCCCGTCCCTGGCAGACCATCCCCTACTACTCCACGAGCAGTCGAAACTAGTGCCAACATCGACAAGTTTTTGATATAGTTCCTCGTCCGGACACTCGGGAAGCTTCCACAATCTCGCATAAACTGTTTGACTTCTAGCGCGGCATCTTTCATGCTGTTTTCTGTCAGAACTTCAAGTTTATCTCTAACCACTTTTGTGTGTTTGTCCCATGTATATACGGGCGAAGGAATATCTAGAATTGCGAAACATTTTTCTGCTGCCGTTCTCCCTTTACCAATGGCACGAAAAGCAACAACAGATGATACATTTATGTTGTACTTATGTCCTGTCCGTTCTGATGTTGGTGTTGGAAATCGTGATAGATGCGATGTACAAGCATTGTTTGTACAATTATACAACCACATTGCAGCTAATCCTTGTCTTGAACATGTCTTTTCTAAAAGTACCAAAGGGCTATGACAATCCTTGCATACTGCAGCGTTTTCAAGCATTTGTTGCAGGCAAGCAACGCTAACAACAAAATTTCCATTTTTAGGTAATTCATACTGCGATGTTTGGCTTTCGACTGCAGGTTCACTGCCACTGTCATCACTCACATCCTCTGAATTGTACGACTCGACGTCGCTCTCTGTCTTTGACGATACAAGTTCGTCCGCTTTACGTTTAAGAAAACTTTCCTTCCCGGTCTCTAGCTTTTTTCTGCTTCTAGATATGGAGCTTGATAAATTCGGATTATTGTTGTTAATATTTTTACTGAGCAATTCTGGCCATTGTTTGTCCTGATCAAAGTAAGAACCTTTGTCTGTAGCTGCTAAATATCTCTTATTTTCGTCTGACAAATTCGCTGCGGGCTTTTTTTTCGACTTTCTTTTAGTACAAAAAGGGGTTTGAATTTTTCTTACTAACTTTGGATAAATTTAACGGCATAACCACATAAAAATCACAGTATAACGTGTTCCTAAACAACATAAAAAATGTGCATAACAGCCACACAGGCGCTTATAAATCGGCACGTGATGTATTGAAATCGACAAGCTAATTACGTAAGATAATTAGTTTGGACATTGTTTCCCGCCATTTCTGTTGAGAGTCATACAGCGTATGAAGCACTTTACCCCATAATTCAGCGAGTTTTTAATATTTTCACTTCAAATTTTTGCAGATGAAAGTTCTACTAGTAAGACTCCATATGGATAGTTTTCTAATTTTTCAAATGTGTGAGCAAAAAAAGGTGTCCTGTAACCTTAATATCATTTTAATGATATTAATATATATAAAATATTTTAATAACAAAGAACACATGTGCAATTTACATATTGTTACCCCCCCCCCCTCATCAACTCTTCAGTTTTCTGAGTCTGCCACCTTGAAAATAGCCACCCTTTTTTTCAGTGACCTCCCCCCCTTGATAAAATATTGGGCCCCCTTTGGAGTAATTTTAAAAGTAGAAGCTTTTTTATACATTTATTTTCATTTCTTGTAATGGAAATTTTATATCTTGCTATGTTTTAAATGTTTTGGATTTATTAAGTATAGTCAGTTGTCATGGCACTTTACAGATGCTAGAATTCAAGCATTTGCCTGGAGGAGTATACCCCTGGACCTCCTAAAAGTTTATTGTACTATATTATAGTTAAAACAGATTTTCACATAATAAACAAAATATATTCGAATTAGCTCAGGGTAAAATTACATGGGCCCCTCCTGGGATTATTTGCCCTCGACCTTAATATTTTTAACCTTAAGTGGCAATATGCCCAGATGCTCCCTACTTTAATATTTTACTCTGTCTAACGCCAGATGAGTTTACTCGTCAGATGAGTGTTTAAATAAACCCTGGCTCTACCACTGAAGGTTCATGTGCATCTTGTAACTTCACAACGTAAAGCTCCAAATCTTTCTTCTTTATTTATGATGCCAATTTGTTCACTGTTATTATGATTTGTAATAGTGACAGACATGTGGATACTTGCTTGGAGAAGTTCTAGATATCAAAATGTATAGGAATATATCTGAGGTTGAATGTGTTAAGAGAAAAGTATTGAAGTTATTTAGTTTATATAAGGTACATCCCCTAACAGTACAACATGCATAGTTATCCTTCAGTGCGATAAATCTTGAATGTTTTTTGGCTCAATGTCGGTAACATCTAGATTTAAACGCTGACATTCTGCTCGGAAATTTGGTTCGAGAAAATCATCAGGGACATCGAGTACTCCTGACTGTTCCTCTGTGACTGGTAATCCTATGAAAGAAAAAATAATCAATGCCAGCCTCGGAACACCTTAGATCACCATATATAATGAAGGAAATACTCATAACTTTTGGCTGATTTTGCATATGACAATTGGCAACATAGGATCATATCAACCTGTTCAACTCTCACTTGTGTTGGTAATGGTTTATTTCAACCATTTGAGGAAACTTATTAATTTAGAACAATGTACCACATTCCTCAATGTCATATTCCTGAGGGAATGTATAAATGTGATCAGGTATGCCGCATGGCAAGCAAGTATCCTTTTGAGCCCTAATCCGATGGGTGTTCCATATGGTTTCTTTAAAGTGCCTATCACCCCAAATGTTTATGATTGCATTGTAAAGATCCTTTAAAATGACTTAATAATTTCTTTTATAGAATTTT